TAATGTAAAATCAGAATATTAGGCAATAGAACTGTATTTATTTTTTTTATTTTTTTTTACTTTTATTTCACAACATGATTACGTATCCTTTGGGCCAAGGGAAGGAAAAGTAGAGATACACCTCTGTAATCCAGTGGTTAGGATCATGTGAAATATTTGCATGGTCCTGTGTCTGACAAGTTATTTCTTCAGAAGAAACCTCCTACTGACTTAATTGTTCCAGACTGTGTGGCAGCATTTAGCTTATCAAATGTCTGGTTGCTTCTACCTTCCATAAGCAGAAGATTGCCTTCCAGATTTCATATTTGCTGCACCATTTCAAAAAGCTTATTTTCTTAATATGTGATATGCTCCAAAATAAATGAAAAGTTGATGTTAGTGGCCAGAACTATGATGCAATAGCAAACAGTAGAGGTCCTGTTATTTTATATCTTTAACAGTTTTGCTGGTGCTATCTTGCTTTAGTGGATACTGTCCGAACGGGTATTTGCAATACTTCTGCAAACAGGTAATTTTAAAAAGAGATAAAAGAGGTAAAGAAAGATTTTGATGTTTAGTTTTAGATTTCACTGGACTACTAGGGAAAAGCCTCCTCTGTGTATTGAAACAAGGGAATCAAATCACATTTTGTTTAGCGATGGCTGCTTACAAATGTCAAGGCAGAAAGCAGACCAGTTTTCATTAAAAACTGAGAAAAAGAGGGAATAAAAGAAAGTAAGAGGTTTTGTATGACTTACTATATTCATAGAGAAAACTTGTTTAGATAATGAGATCATATGGTAGTCAGGAAATCACTGACGTGTAAAAAGGAAAGCCAAAACTTTTTGTGTACTTTATACATGGTGTAAATCTTCTTGAGCTGTGAACATGGTAGCTTTAAGTAATAGTTAAGATTAAAGGTGCTCTCTTTTTCTTTTCCTGTTGACATTTAAGAGTGGAACAGACTTCCTCTCCATTTTTTGGTCTGTACTCATCATTCTGTCTCTTGCTAAATATTGGTTTGTTCTCTTAGGGCGGGAAAGAGATTCAAGTTACTGTGATAGCCACTCTGATGTACGTACATATTCTGGGAGAACAAATAGCCTGTTTATAGAATAAAGTATCCTTCAGTCTAAAGTATCCTACTGTGCAAATTTTGCCATTTATGTAGCTGGAGATATGAAGAGGAAGACTTCCATACCTAAATTTTTAAAGACATTAACTTCTTACTACGTACAAAAATCAGAAGTGATGTGTCAGGCCCATCAGAGTCTGAGGAAGACTTGCCACTAATTGTAATGGTCCAATATCCTTATGCTAGATTTTACTACTCCCTTATTGCAACATTATTATTCTCTCCTTTTTTTTTACATAGAGGAATTATATTGTTAGTCTCTTGGTGATATAAGCAATTTTTAATAATTAATTCAGTGTTCCAGTAAAAAACAGAACCTTTATAAAATCTTTTATTCTGTATCAGTCTTGTGGTTTCCCTAACAGTTTTTCATTTTTACATGTGATATCTAATATATTTTAAGGTTTTCTGTTTTGTGTGAGGATATATGGTGCTTATGTCTCTTCTAGCTTAGGCAGAGTTGGCCATTTTGAAGCTTAGTATTACAGTTTATATTGACTTAACCATTCCATAATGTCAAATTCAATTAATTGAGCAGCTATGATCTAGGTGGCATTGTCTAGCTGCAGTTACTTTTTTTTTTTTTTTTTTTTTTGAGTCAAAACAGGCATGAATAAAAGCTTCTCGGTGTCTATTTTTCTTTAGGTGCCGGAAATCTCTTCCTTTCTATTTATTTATTTTTTTTTTTCTGAGAAGTAGGCATAAATAGCTTTAGTTTCACTAAAATTCTCCCTACAGGACTATTTCGAGGCTTCCCAGCAGCACACACAGAATTAGATTTTCCTATCCAAAGGATCTCTAAGGAGGCAAAATTAAATTACACAACAGAACAGAAAAATGAGGGAGTTATGGGAAAGGAATGAAGACTGGGAGAAAATAGCAGGACAGTGGGTGGTCTGGGTTGGGAGTTTTTTGGGCTTGTGTGACAGTCTGTGATCTGTAAGTTGATTGTAGAGCATTCTGTACCTTCCCAGTCTCCTCCAGGTGCATCCCTCTCCCCAGGGTATGCAAACCCAGTCTACCCCATTTGGGAGACTTCTGACTCCCCTTTCTCTCATTCAGCTATTAACTCCTCTCCACTTTGCAAATGCAGCTCTCTTTCCCTGCAGAAACTCCCACTTACCCCTTGGCGCCTGCTGTCTGGGAAGAACTGGACTTCTGGCAGCAGGGGTGGTTGAAAAAGGTGATAGCAACAACTGTTTCTTGACCATCACATACATTTCTTCTAATGCTTCCTTTTTAGTGTTTTTTCAGTAGCAAAAAATCTAGGCAAGAAGACAGATATCAGTCATTTGCTATAAAAAGAGCCAACCCTACTCTGTAGTGGCCTGTAAATGAGGTTGTATCATGTTATCCATACCTGGACTGTGTAGTTGTATAAGAGTACTAGTCAATTTATTCCAATAGTGTGTCTAATAAACTCTGACATTGAATGGGCCTTTTTTGAATGATCAGGAGATCTGACTATATTATATTTCACATTTCTTCTCATTCATATTGACATTAATTTAAATTCATGTGTTCCCTACTCTATCTTAGGCTATTTAGGTAAAATACATCTAATGGAAATAATGCAACCCTTTTTCATTCTGCCTGTGTATTTTTTCTGGTTTTCAATATTTTGGTATGATTTTTTTCTATTCTGTTCCTGTAATAGCTAAATACTCATAAATTCTCCCATGAATGATTCAAATATATTGAATTTCATTGTTCATCTTCATCTAGTTCTGTTGAAAAACTCTATTTGATATTACATGTTTGTGTATTTTTTACCTTTAGAAGATGCATTGACATTTTTCTGTGACTTTTTAATTCATTCCCTTACACTGGCTTGTAAGCTCACAGCTAATGTGTGTTACCTGCTTTTCTGTACCTGACACTGCTGCAGTTCTTTGCTTTTTGCTCCAGGGGGCAAGAAGCACTTTATTCTCTGGTACAACAATTCTGAGATTTAAAATGTAAACGTAGGGCAACCACCATGGAAGATGGCATCATAAATAGAAGGGAAAGACCTGTAGTCTGTTTCCTTTGTCTGTGCAAATGCATAGCAATAATAGCCTTTCACGACCCACACGCTGCAGAGTTAACCCAATCCTTTTAATAATCTGTGTAAGAATATTGGTTGCTATGGAAACACATTCTCTGGTACCACTTGACTGTCAAAATAACCTAATGAAATATCGTGCTAAGAATGTTTTAGAAATTTACTTTTAATATAAAAAGTAAATAAATCCACCTAACTTTAGAAGATATGGCTAGATTCATGAAGTCTGCAACAAGGGAACAACCAGTTTCTAACAGAGGGGAATCAGACTAGTGGAGATGGATATATTCTGTTTCTCATCTTTGGTGAGTGAGCTGAAATAGAATTTATAAATATTTTTCTGCTTGAATTAATGGCATACCAACCACATCTGTGTATAAGAAGTTTGCACAAGAGTCAAAGATTAAATGATCCTCAGATGTTACACAATTTGAGTTAGTGCCTGTCTGTGTGGTGCCTTTGCTTCACTTAGAGTTTGCATCAGCTTGTTTTCATCTTCAGAACTGCTTCTGTTTCTTTGCTTCTTTTCCCCCCTACTTTCCTTTACCTCTGCATTCCCTTTCTTGTATCAGACTCTATGCATATCTTTATTCTATTGGCTAAAATAATCTGCAATTAAGTGTTGTTTTTTTTTTTTTTTTTTTTTTTATATGGGTGTCATAGCAGTGCTTTAGAGGTAATGTTATCACCAGATTAATAGATGTGGTCAGCCATTGTCTCAAACAGCATTATGTTTGCCAAGTAAAAATCCAGCCACTTCTGAAAGATTGTTTAAGGCAAACAAGCATTCCTAAAGATAGCATTTAGTATCTGAATATCAGGTAGGCTGCAAAACAAATGTTGAGCAGGCTAGAACAGCTATTTCATATTCCAGTTGAAATATGGACAAAGAATTAAGATGTGAGTAAAAATTTATTTTTTGCTGTTGTCCTATTTTTTTCTTTTTAACATGAGATTTTAAAAATCATTCATTACTGGCTTAACTTTCCTCCTCCTCCTGAAATCAACAAAAGTTGCCACTGCAGTTCATTCACTTGAAGAGGACTACCCTGTGTAGCAAAATAACATTAATAAATGGGAACTGTCCAATTCTGTTTCTCGATGTCATAGGAATTAGGATACTGGTTTAAGCAATAGTTAATTACTCCCTTATTACTGAAACCAATATGGAAGCCTCAGTGCTCACAACTGAATTACTTTTTCTGGTACCTTTCATCCCTTATAGATGAGACAAAATAAGGCAGGTTCTTTTTTTAAATAAAATTTTTGCCTACAAAATAAGCTAAAATGTTTATTATTGTAAATAGAAAATAAAAATGGAAACCTCATGTTTTGATTACACTGATCTTTTTTTTTTTTTTTTCCTGCAAAATCCTTGGGCTGATCTGGACAAATGTAATACATCTGTGCTTTTCTTTTCTGAACACAACAGATGACTGTTGAAGCAAGATCCCCTTATTTTACATTAATTCCTTCTTGGGGAGAGTATTTTATTTTTAAATATTAGGTTTTATTGTCTGTGATATCTTAAACTTGATGTTAAAGCAAATTTTAAAGTAAAATGAAGTAGAAGCCAATTACTTGATAATAAAAAAATGCATATTTATAATGTATTTTATTATGTTCACTCATATTTAAAGTATAAGTGCAGATGGATCAATATGCACCTTCCTTAGTGTGATTTCCATACAGTAGATTAATGTTTGAGTAGTTACATTGTATTAAAATACTGCTTTATCTTTTGGAATTTATAAATGGGAATCCTTTAATTTCTTTTAGTTAAGTAAAATGTTTATTTACAATGTATTACTGTGTTTAATTGTACTGTTTCTTTATGCACAGAGGCCTTCTCCAACATGTTTATCACCAAGAGAGGAAGAAGAAGATGATGCAGGTGAAAATACTTGTGGTCCCTCAGGTTTATGGGAGGCATTGACACCTTGTAATGGATGCAGGAACCTCGGATTTCCCATGCTTGCACAGGTATATGTTTACGTTTTTTATCATAAACCTTATTAACTATAGAAGAGCTGCTTAATCTCTTCTCTACCTTTTCTTACAGTCATGTCTAGTCTTGTCTTATTCCCTTGAAATTTGTTACCTTCAGTTTTCATTTTAACATCAAAATCTGGTTTTAAAATTAAATGTTGAGGTTCGGTAATCCAGCAGTAATATTCATCCAAATGAGTTTAATATTGAGACTGTTTGATGTTCATTACCCCCATTTTAGACACAGTTGTTGTGTTGCATAGCTTTCTCTTCTGATTCTGTCTGTAAAGAAATATTGAAGTCACATAGGTTCCTTTGGGATAAGTACTCTACTTCTGACCAGCTTCTAATTAACATAATGCTATCTCAGCTACTTTCTTTATAGAATTAATTGAGGACATCATGCATAACTCAATGGATGTAAGAATCTAGGTGAAGACTTCTCTTTGAAGATTATGCAAGTTAAAAAAAAATCCCCAAACATTTTCAAATGCTCATGATAATACAGGGGAGAATAAATAAAAATGAGTTATGTACTTGGGTCTAAGTCCCAAAGAGTCTCAGAGCAGACCAGTCTGCAGTATCCTCCAAGGGATGCCAGCAGCTGTGTCCTGAACAAGTGATATTGTATTGCTACGAAACAGGATGATGCTTATTGCTGCTTCTGGGTCTCCCTTGTTCTCTCCCCCCACTATAGTTTAGCACTCTCATTTTTGTAACATTTTCCCTGCACTTTTCTTGTAACGTTGGATGGAGACCCGCCAAATTTCTGTTTAGAAATGTCTGCTTTTTGAGTTGCATCCTTACTTGGCACTGCATTTAAATAGCTTTGTCAGATTCCTGTGTACCAGATTGGAGTTACATATCCTGTCTCACCACACTTTATACACTGTTGCTTTCATACAGTGACTGTACATTTTATTCCCTTTAGTCTCATGGGACTTGCACCTGTTTGAAGTCAATGCTAAAGCTTCCACTGCAGTCAGTGGAAACAGGATATGGCAACTAATGTGCCTGAATAACAATGAGCACTGCCCTATCTTTTTATAAGGAGCTTTTATATTCCTTTCCCCTCTCAATAGCTGTTTTCTACCTCATACTATCTATCATTTCAGACATTTGGCAAGGTGCAAAGCTGTCGGAATTATCCTGATTTATAATAGGAGTGCTGTAGTTACTAATTCCTCATTTTTAAGAATTTGTTTCAATAAATATTTCTTAAATTGAACTTTTCTTATTTAAATACATATGGTTTAATTGCTGTTATATATGCCATTTTGGAGTGATCTCCTAATTTTAATAAACATTTTTGTTTTCCCTGTTTCTTTTAATGTAAGGTATATGTGAAGTGTGCTATAAAATTCTGCATTTGAAAACTATAATGAAGTTAGATTTGTTGGTTGGTATCTCTTTACTTTTTATAAAAAATCATTTCAAGAATGATACTGGTTTTAAGATAGTGACTCCTGAATTAGTTTTATTCATTGTACTTAAAATTTAACCTCAACCTTACCATGTCTCATCTTTCTTGTGCTGAGAACTGATAAGATTCTAAATTATGCGTACAAAAAAAGTATATTTGTTCTGTGTTCATTCATGAAATGACATGTCGCCTTTCTAGATTGTTTCTCTCCATAAAAACTGAAGACAGATAGTTCGGGGGTTTTGCTGATTTTCTTTTTATGGAAGCAAGGAAAGAAAATAAGTAGTGAAAAATCTCCAAATTACAAACCAGTGACTTCAGTTTATAAAGTGTTTCAATCACTGTATGCAATCTTTCAAGCTGTTTGCTAATCTGTTTGATCTTTCACATTTACTTCAGAATGCAGCAGCGAACATCTTGTTCTAAGGGATTGAGAACACAAATTATTTATTTCAATTTTTAGATTAAGACCAGTATCTTGATTTGATCTAACAAATTATGATAGATATAATCTGCAACAGCATGTTTTGGGTAAAAATACAAAAAAGTGTTTGATATTTATGTCAGTCCACTAACATAACAGAAAATGCAGCCTCATCAAGAAGAAACAATGAGATAAGGGTACTTGACATCATGTCTTAAAATCCATATTTTACTGAAGATCCCAAAATAGGGAAACTTATTAAGTACTCTTGAACACAAACAAGTTCATTTTCCAAGTTCTCTTGTAGTTAAAATAGATTTTACAGTTATATAAATATACTGTGTTTACACATCAGCAGAGAAAAAATATAAAGATTGATTCTTGGTTTATATACACAGAGGTACAATGATAAAATTAAATTGAATTTTAGCTGAGATTATGACAATGTCCATCTGTGACCTAATGAGCTAACAGTTTTCAATATGCCAAAAAAAAGGGCAGTTATCTCCTTGACATACTTGATTTCTTTATTGCAGTTATGGAATAAAACTTGGCTGGAGGTACTTTTGACATGCAGTATGTCATTTCTGTCAGTACTGTACTGGGAAATGTCATTTTAGAAAGGGCTGTTACAGAAAGTTCTGTGTAAATTCTTCTGCAGCTATCATTTAAAATCTAACATAGCAGTAATACAGGTATTCTCAGAATAAACAACTGTCTTTTACAGTCTCATAATTGGTGAAGTCCTGGAAGAGCTTGTTGGAAAATCATTGTGTCATGTAAAAATTTTAGGGTTTTAGAAAGTTCCCAATTCTAAATCAGAATGGATCTAACAACCAGCTTCATTCACCCCCAAAATAAAAAAAAAAAAAAAAAAAAAAAAAGCCACAGTGCAAGGATAACCAGCTGGATTTTGGGAGACTGAAATTTAAATGCCTCCTCTTCTTTTAGCAGAGTGAATTCAATTTGTAGGTAATGATTTATGGTTAATATGTGCCTATTGCTTTTTTTCTGAAATTGATCTTTCTTTTTGGGCAGAAATTCTATCCTTGGTAAAACCAGTGAACATTTTTGTGAAAGATGTTGACTTCCACAAATGAGTATTTTATGCCTGAAAAAAACCTTTCTCAAGACATACCAGATTCTATATTTTCTGGCTGTCAATACAAAAGAAAAACCTTATTTCCACCCATATAACTGAATAACTGTCTTCTACATGTTCCAGAATTTCTAATAATCTTAAATATCAGCACAGTAAAAACAGTTTTGAAAAGTTTCAAAGATGTAAAACCCCAGACGTGTTTCTACAGCACTCTCAAATTCTAGCATTGCAGACTTCATTGGAAACAGTTTACTCTGCGATGACATGCCTGGTAGTTAAACTAAGAGAAAGCTTTCATAAATGGTGTGATAGTACTAGACCCTCTTCCATGGATCTCCAGTTCTTGTAAAATCTTCCTACAGTAACAAGCAAGATTTTTAATGCTTTAATGGTTGCATTTTTGGCCATCATAAAAATATGATACCAATGAACATTTTTCCTTTCCAAGAGTTGTAATAAAAGAATATTATATTTTATATATAGTTTTCTCTCAGAGTAGCCACAAAAATAGGAGTTATGTGACAAAGTATCTCACTGTGCTGTAGGTAAGTACTGGAAAGAAAACTAAGATGATCCTTAAAAAATATTTTTGAGCAATGCCTGCTAATGATAAAAAAAGCTGAAAGTACTGTAGTATCATTGTTATTGACCATCTTAAATGAGGAAGCTTTAGGCAAGAGACTGATAATTCAGCTAAATATGGAATAGGAAAGTTTAGAGGTAGAAATAGCATAATCAGCTTAATATATACAGGGGTAGTTATAGTTATTAGGATGGCCAAAGAAACACATGCTGCCAGGACAGAGTTCTGCAGGTAATTGGTCTGACACTACAGCTTTGATTATGCTCTTCTTGAGGAATGATCACAGCAAAGCTAGTGACAGCAGTGAAGGTGTAGGAACGGGATTTTGCTCAGTGACTGACCTTGATGCCACACCTGCTGAGACTGCTAGCCCTAGAGTCGGGCTGTAAAACTGTACCACCACATTGTGTGCAGTTTGTAAACTGTAGTGATAGCTTCAATGTAACTGTAGATATGCAGCTACAGCCTCACTAGCAGTCAAACCTTCAGTTATTGAGTACATGTGTCACTGGTCCTGTTTTTACCCTGTATCGTTCCCGTGGTTGTACTGGGAGACTGACTCCTCTGAAATCCAACCTTCAACCGATTTTTCTTCCCAGTCTGAGTTTCAACAAGGTTCTCATCCAGATCTGCTCCTTACCAATGCATATATTCTCCAAGCCAGTCCATCTGTCATTGTTCTATTGTTTTGGTGCAGGCACTTTGCTATGCCACGTTGCCTTCAGTTAGTCAGTGAATGGAGATAAGTTTCTGTCCTCACAAAGGCAAGAACAGCAAATTTATGTTGAGTACGGATACACCCCGTTATATTTTTGGTAAAAGGAGTTTGAATTCTGGTCCCTGCTCTATGTTTGTATATGTTTGTGACAGTTTATGTGGAGTGCCATAAGCAGAAGACTAGAGTGTTATGGTCATGTTTGGGTGCTGCTTTTTCATCTGGTCAAATTTCAACTCATATCAAACTTTTTTCAGTGTAGTAAAAGGTTTGGAAATAACCTGCTATTGGAAAAGTCTATAATCTAGTAATTGATAGGGTCTGTGGATGTGGATCTCTAAAACAGAAAGAAACTGAAACTTGAACATGTTTCCTGAGTACTCTAATTGCCGTATTATTTTGCTCAAGACATGCACTTCTACCAACCTAGAGTAAAAATAAAAGCAAAACAACATTTGGAAACATGGCTGTTTCCACACTTCCCACTCCAAATTTATGAAGCTCTATAGTTTTCATTCCATTTTTTTTTTTTTTTTTTTCACGGATAGTGTTCTTTGAGTATTTCTCTGCGAAGGGGCAAACAGGGCCTGATGTACAGAGATTAATACAGGGCTGTCATCAATGCCAGAGAGATGGGTGGTGCAGAGTCCTGTGTGATCATAGCAATATTATCAGTATAAAGCAAGCAGTCAGCACACCTTAATCTTGACAGCCATGCCAGCATATTTTCCTAATTGTTATATAAAG